GGAGCAGAACACCAACGCAAGCCTGTTATTTTCCCTGTCTTTCTCATAATATGAAAATATCTTGTATGAAAACACACTTATCGATGAACTGGTTACGAGAAAGGACTACCTTCAATTGTTAATGCTTCAAATAAAGATGAATATATTTCTATATCTCTTACAAAATATATAAATAAATGAAACAAAAACAATGACCACATTTCTTTCAATATTAACTATTAACAAAGCATAGTAAGTTTATCCTCGAGCCGACGGCGCGAAGCGCCGTGCGAGGGTACTAATTCCCCCCGGCTATTTACACCCGGGGAAACGAAAGCATTAGCGGAGTCTAAAGTTCATCAAATATCGCGGGCGTGGGTGACCAACGATGGGTGGTCATCCTCACTGATCTCAAAAATATGGCGGACTGTCATGAATAGCGGACACTGATTGGTCCAATTTAAATTTGGCATTATAACGACTGGCACAAATGTATCACGACAGCGAAATAGCAAAAACATTTCTTGATTTGATGATTGATAAATTTCTTGCAAATATATTTCATTTTTACTCGCATTTTTGCAAGATTTTGTAAATTTCAAAAGCTCTCTCAAAATGAAACTGCGAAAGAATCGTCTAAAAGAAGGGAGCCGACGTTAACGAAGGTAAGTTTGTTTTAAATATTGATTTTATAATGGCTTTAAAACCAGACGGCCTTTGCGTATATGAAACAACTAAACAAACAGCATATAATTTTAGTGTATCTTTAATATTGATTCCGTTTTTTATGATATTGAATTTCTAAATAAAAAAGAAAGCACTGAGTTATTTGCAAGCCAGAATTTGAATTCATTTTATTGCTAACTCAAAGTTTATCGATAAAGCCATTTTAAAAGGCAGTTTAGTTTTATAATGAACACTAGTGACTTTAAAACGTTTTGCGAAGCGTTTGTGGTTGAATTTTTCCTTAAATTGAGGCTTATATTACGTATAAAAACATATCTAACATATATTTATGTTGGGAAATTAATAATTTTGTAATTAAAAGTGATATTTTTAGGCGATTTTTCATTTGTAAGAATATTCTTAAAAAATTATCGTGTTACCATGACAACTACTTTAGAACTTCATGTTCGGAAAATACAATGGTTTTGTCAGCAAGGCGAGGGTTTCTGCATGCATGTATTTTCTAGTATATAAGGTAATAGGAAGGCTTTTTTAGTATATTAATATTTACTGTTCATAAACCAGAACTGTCCAGGCAGTGTCTACTGTGTCTCTCCTGGCAGAAATACTGTGGGCACACAGGGAAGGCAATCTGCAGATTAATACATACATATCAGTCAGTTAGCTTTTGTATAATCGTATTAAATTCGTATTTAGGCCTAATTCAGGAAATAGTTTTAATTCTTTTAAAAACTATATTTTCTAGGAATTGAATGATTTTTTTTACGATTTTGTAACAGCTATATGCACATGCGAAGCAATATCACGATCAATAGTCATTGAGCATGACGATAATTTCGATATATCGTCCCTTAAATTTCTACCTCCGATACGATAATCGCGATTGAAAATATCGCGATAAAACAAAATATCGAAATATTGCCCACCCCTAATACAGAGGCATGGCAATAAATAAGTTTCAATGTTGTAATGCATAATTTTAAAACCAGATGACTCATCATCCTTTTAATTTCAAAATTTTTTGCATTGTGATTAGGCGGAGTCAGGGCCGTAACAAAACACAATAATTGGTGGGGGGGGGCATATTCATATATTCATGTTCACATGTATACCATAAAAACAATCGATTTCAAAACAAATCTGTCTGGCAGAACAAATAAATATATGAACATGCACCCCCCCTCCCCCACCAAAAAAATATCGTGTCTAGGTATGGCCCTGAGAGGAGTAATAAAAAAGTGAAGGGGTAGTTAATTGCCACTAAATGTTTTAAGATGACCTAACAAATGTAGTGTATATTAAAAAAACAAACCTAAAGAGAATGAGCTGAAATAATATGACTTGTGCAACTTACATTAGGGTCAGGTATATGAAAAAATAAATACTGCCAACAAAATGAGTGTGACAACAATGATTTGGATTCTTGCACTTCACTTGGTGGTATTAATATTTGAATGCTGTTCTTAGGGTTTGTAATCCAAGTGAGTATATATATATATATATATATATATATATATATATATATATATATATATATATATATATATATATATATATATATATATATATTTTAAGACCTGACCAGGAACGACTGCGGAAAATGCAGCACATGCAAGGTCCTCTGGTAGGAATTGAACCTACGGCCCTGCGATTCCGTTGCAGCGCTCTAACCAACTGAGCTACAGAGGCCAGCTATTGAGCTGTAACCGTAAGTTCATGTATATATAGGTGATCGGGTGTGCGGGTTGTGATAAGGTGGACTTCAATGATTTGGTTTCTTGCAATTCACTTGGTGGTATTAATGTTTGAATGCTGTTCTTAGGGTTTGTAATTCAGTGAGTATATATATATATATATATATATATATATATATATATATATATATATATATATATATATATATATATATATATATATATATATATATACTAAAAAAACACACATCTGTTTCATATTGTATACGGATGAAACAGACTGTTGTGGTTTTTTGAGGTAAAACGAAAAACTATCTTACGCTCTATCTATATGGTATTGAGCACTGTTTGTGTTCCAAAATCTTAAGCTATATATATATATATATATATATATATATATATATATATATATATATATATATATATATATATATATATATATATCGACCGTCAATTTCCAAAATCAAACACACTCAGCAAAATATTTAATCGCCACAACCTCAAACTAAGCTACAGCTTACAAACTAAGCTACATTAAATCTCAATTATCCAAACCAAAGGCCACCGCCGATACAACGAAAAATTGCAATTGCAAAAAAAGTCCTTGCCCAATGGACAAGAACTGTCAGGCTGACAGCATAATATACCAAGCTGAAGTAATTACGGAGGATTCGCAAGAAACGTACGTCGGACTTTGCGATACTGAATTCAAGTTAAGGTATAACAATCACCAATGCTCGTTCAATCATGAAAGGTATAGAAACGTAACGCAGTTAAGTAAACACGTATGGAACCTGAAAGACCAAAAGCTCAAATACCAAATCAAGTGGAAGTAAGTAAGACAAGCTAGATCATACACCAACGTTAGCAAAAAATGCAACTTGTGCCTGTGGGAGAAATATTATATAATACGTCAACGTAAGACTGCAACGCTCAACAAAAGAAGTGAACTTATGTCGGAATGTAGACATTCAAAGAAATTTTTATTGGACAATGCAATTACTTAGTTAGAACGATGAACTACAGGGTGTCCCAAAAAAACGAAAACTATTGAAATCACCAATAACAATTTAATTGTTAGAATTTGAATGCCTTAGCGCTCTGTTGGTTCCCACGAGTGCATAAATGATTGACATAAGTAAATTTTATGCATAAAGAACTGTTTAAGAAGCTGTTTTTAATTCCCAGGAGCAGAAAATCGCGCACTTTACCAGAAGATATTCCTAACTAAATTCTAATACATGCACCTTGTCAATATTTTACGCGTCATTACGTCCAGCTGTTTGGTAGGGCATACAAATTTAACAATAAGTAATTTCAATAGTTTTCGGGTTTTTTGGGACACCCTGTATAGCTTTTAACACTTAGCATATAAACATTATCTTAATCCATCCGTGAAACAATACAACAATGAACATAATAATGTAGAGACAATGAAACCATATACTTAGATTTTATACAAATTCAATATGACTTTTTAGCATTTTAAATTTATTGTAATTTGTTTATCAATGAACTTGCCATGTAACATCTTCGATCGGCATTCGCCTGACGATTGCTTCAGCAGAAGCATGAAACTCAGAGTAGCAATTAAATGTTTTTAAACTAAGAAGTCTCTCTTAACTCTACATAGCTCTAGTATACCTATATAATTACTGACGGTCATAATAACCTATTGTTTTCTCTCTGCATTATATCAGCGAATGTCGAGAAGTTTTAGCGTTCTTCTGAAAAACGGGAGTGGTCTTTTTTGATTGTAGGGAAATTCCCAGGGGTAAATGTTTATACAGGCTAAAATAGCACACAGCATTATTAAAAATAATGCAGCGTGCACACAGCATTATTAAAAATAATGCAGCGTGTATCAGTGCACACAGACATTATTCGCAATCCTTCGTCATCCTGACAAGTGCACGCGATAACGTGAACATCTCAAGATGAGAAGTTGACAGTGCTAAAGGCCCCTCATACAATATCATCGGGCGCCTGAAGCACTGACAAAACGGTCGCTGTGAGTCCTTTCAGCTCAACTTTATAGAGAAATATTTTCGTTTGCGCTTGTTGGATTTTATCCTAGATATACGCATGTGCAGAACACACCATAAGTTCTATTCCCGTGTTTATCCAGTTAACCAGTTAGGTGAATTAACCTTATCATTAATGATAATATGTCAACTAGAACACTATAATTGACCTCCGCTTGTGGAGATTTTAATTTAGGGCGATTAATTAAACTGAAATCTGTTCTATCTCGATGGATTACATGCATGTCCTCACAAATGTCTAGTGTAACGTTGGATAGATTGTCATACGGTCCCAACAAGCAGCAACGTAGTCTTCCAGCCGAAGATAATTACTTTTGGTTCGGGTCAGTAATTATAATAGATAGTTACTTCGGCCAAACGGCATTATTCGATATATTGCAGCCAGCTTCGGCCTTCGGCCTTCGGCCAAGATAAACTCGACTAAGTTTAAGCCAAGAACTATAATTTGTCGAGACTATAAAAGCTACAACCAAAACGCAATGAACAACGAGCTAAGACTCGTTGATTGGTCCTACGTGTATAATAACAGCAATGTGAACTCAGCTTGGACTTACATGAAGACAATAATAACTGGCATATACCTAAAATATGCTCCAGTTATTTCAAAGCGAGTTAAAGGTAAACCAGCACCATGGTTGACGGTCGAAGTCAAACAGCTTATGAACGAGCGGGATAGTTTACTTCGTAAATATCGTAGGACCAGCAATGACGAGGACTTTCATGCGTATAAACTAAAGCGTAATAAGGTGAATACTTTGTTGCGTCAAGCGAAGTCCTCGTATAACAAAAATCTGTTGGAAGAAAATTCGAAGACTCCTGAGTCATTTTGGAAAATAATTAAATCAATTTACCCAGTTAAATCAACAGGCAAAAATACGAGTCTATCATTTGAAATTGACGGCGAGATGTCAGCTGATGCATCGAAAATTTCAAACGCTTTTTGCTCGTATTTTAATAACATTGTTGCCACTTTGAAGCAGAAAGCTTTTCCACTGCGTAATCTAGTTTGGAGAAACCCTATAAACATTAATTTTTTCTGTGTTGGTGTAGTGTACTCAGGTGAATATGATATTTGTGGTGTTACTCTGAGTGTATATCCACACCGAGCGAGCTTGAAAAATATGCCCGGCCACGGTGGGATATACACTCAGAGTAACACCACAAATATCATATTCACCTGAGTACACTACACCAACACAGAAAAAATTCATATTACTAGAATACATTGGTATCGAAGGAACTAGATTCTGTTCCGAAATATCACTTACTCGAACCGTCCTGACCGCGTAGCTCAGTTGGAAGAGCATTGGGCTAGTATCCAAAGGTCGTAGGTTCGAATCCCACCGTGGCCGGGCATATTTTTCAAGCTCGCTCGGTGTGGATATATACTCAGAGTAACACCACAAATATCCTATAAACATTGGTAAAAAGACGGAGAAAGTTTTCAAGGGTCGAAATGTTTCCATTTTGGGAGTGGAAAGACAGCTGAAATCGCTTAAATCTACTAAATGTACGGGTTGTGACAATTTACCACCAAGATTATTGAAAGAATCAGCTTCTACCATTGCTCCACCGCTTATACCCATATAATAAATTTGTCAATGCAGTCTGGTCTGATTCCATCCGAATGGAAATCGGCAAAGATTATACCAATTCACAAATCGGGTCCGAGATCGAGTTTTGATAACTATCGCCCAATTTCAGTTCTCCCAGCAATATCGAAAGTAATGGAGACCATCATTCACCGTCAGGTTATGAATTTTTTGAATGAAAATAAACTATTATCGCAAAATCAATTTGGCTTCAGACCAAAAATGTCTACCGAGTTGGCGGCGGTGAAGTTTATCGCTGAAATTCGTATGAGTGTTGATAAAGGCAATTTGGTTGGAGCTGTATTTATTGATTTGACTAAGGCATTCTACACGATTAGCCACTCTAAGCTGCTAAGTAAGCTACCCCAGTATGGCATAAATGGAACTGAACTAGATTGGTTTAAAGATTATTTGTTTAGACGGGCAGCTTGCGTTTCATACAATAACCATATTTCTCAGCAATGTTATCTTCGGTCCGGTGTCCCACAAGGGTCAATACTAGGCCCTTTACTGTTTTTGATATCATTTAATGACATTGTCGATCTAATTGAACAATCCAGAATAGTAAAATATGCCGTCGATGTTGTTTTGTATGTAGAGGATAAGAATATGGAGTCAATCAAATCAAAACTGACGAACGATTTGGCCAATGTTGCGGTCTGGTTGGATGAAAATGATCTGATTATCAATTACTTCAATGAAGGGAAAACCGAAGCATTACTATTTGGAACAGCTAAGCGTATATGCAAATCAAACGAGTCTTTGTCTATACCGTATGGAAATACAGTTGTTAATCTCACAAAGAAATACCAGTATCTTGGTGTTGAAGTTGACTCCACATTAAATCTTAACACTCATTTTGATGCTTGTTTTAAACGTGCATCAACAAGGTTACGTCTACTATCCAAAATTAGAGATAATTCAAACGTGGACTCGGCGAGAACGATTTATCAGTCAATGATCACACCGCTTTTGACATACTGTGGAATTTTGAATCTTAAATTAACGTCAACACAACTGCATAAATTAGCTTCTTTTCGGGAACGAGCCAATAAAGTTATTTTTAATGATTTTCGACCTGATACAGAGCTCCCATCGATTATGGATTTAAGGAAGAAGCGTGCCTGTGAAATAGTTAGAATGAGTTTACACTGTTAATTTCAGGGAGTTAACTTAACTCCGGTGGAGTGATACTGTACCTCAATTAACTCCAAATGTGGAGTAAAATTAGGTTCAGAATAATACCACTGGAGTTAAATTAACTCCCTGAAATTTACAGTGTAGATGGCAATATCCCGGAGGCCTTAATGGATCATTTTGTAATTAAAGATCATGGACGTGAAACACGAAATCGAGGTTGTTCGATAAACTTACCAACCATAAAACTTGAATATGCAAGAAGAGGATTCTATTTCATGGGAGCTAAATTATATAATGAGCTCCCATTGAATATTAGATCTACAACAAGTTCTGAAGATTTTTATAAACTCTGAAAACTACATTTCAGCTAATATATATAAGAAATCACATGTGAAATTTCACAAATGAAAGGATTTCACATGAAATCACATGTGACATTTCACATAAACATTTCACATGAAATCACATGTGACATTTCACATGTGAAAGGACTTCACATGAAATCAAATGTGACATTTCACATGTGAAAAGATTTCATATGAAATTACATGTGAAATTTCACATGTGAAAGGAGTTCACATGAAATTATAAATTACAAGTGAAATTTACATGTGAAAGAATATAATTTCACATGAAAGTTACAAATTACAAGTAACATTTCACGTGTGAGAGTATTTCACGTGAAATTACAAATTACAAGTGAAATTTCACATATGTGAAAAGATTTCACATGAAATTACAAGTGAAATTTCACATGTGAAAAGATAAGGATTTCACATGACATTACAAATTACAAAGTGAAATTTCACATGTACGTGAAAGGATTTCACATGAAATTACGACTGAAATTTCACATGTGAAAGGATTTCACATGAAATTATAAATTACATGTACAAGTGAAATTTCACATATGTGAAAAGATTTCATACATGAAATTACAAGAGAAATTTCACATGGGAAAAGATAAAGATTTAATTCACATGACATTACAAATTACAAAGTGAAATTTCACATGTACGTGAAAGGAATTCACATGAAGTTACGACTGAAATTTTACATGTCAAAGGTTTCGCAAGAAAATACAAATTACAATGAAATTTCACATGTGAAAGGATTTCACATGAAATTACAAATTACAATAAATTTCACATGTGAAAGGATTTCACATGAAATTTCAAGCAGTGGCGGCGCCAGGGCTCAGAAATTGGGGGAGGAGGTGGATTTAAAGGGCAAATCATATTTTTTTGGGGGGGAGCAAGATAAAATTGTTAAATAGGTGGTGCTATTAGTGCCCATGCCGTTGTCATAGGACTTCCCACCTCAAGGAGATTTTGTCCCCCTTTGGGACATTCGCCCCTCCCCCATATATGCGATGTGGTTTATTCAAATTTCGTGATGCGTTCATCTCATTAGTGCCTTACACGTTTGAGAACTTAGCTCTGCAAAATTAAAGCTTTTTTGTCTTTTTTGAAACGTGTTATTGGAGTATTGGCAACTTTTACCATTCAGAGAATTACAAACTAATATTGAAACTGTAAAAATAGTATTATACGCGCATTCACTAATGACTAATGACTAATGAGAACTTATAAACCATACATTTTCCGATAACGACAAAACGCTTATGTACCCTTTAGTCGCTCTCAGTAGCCTTAAGTCGCTCTCAAGGGGGGGGGGCATTGGGAGGGGGTAAAAAATAATTGGGGGCATCTCCCCCCCCTCCCCACCCCGTGCCACCCCCTTGCACCGCCACTGATTACAAGTGAAATTACACATGAAATTACAAGTGAAATTTCACATGAGAAAGGATTTTATATATAAAAGTAAAACAGTGAAATTTCACATGTGAAATACTTCACATGAAGTAAAAAGTGAAATTTCATATGTGAAAGGAATTCACATAAAGTTACAAGCGAAATTTCATATGTGATTTAAAGGATTTCACATGAACGGTAAAAAGTGAAATTTCACATGTTAAAGGATTTTATATGAAGTTAATATGCAAGTGAAATTTCATATGTAGAAGGATTTCACATGAAGCAAAAAGTGAAATTTCACATAAAATCATGCACTGCAAAACAAAATATTCTAGTCTAGAATAATATTCTTATTTTTTAGATTATTTTTTATCAAGCAATATTGCAAGAACAAAATCTCGTTTTGAGAACAAGGCAATAATTGGAATATTCGAGAATTATTTTTTTATTTTAAGAATAACATTTTTCCAACCTAGAATAAAATTCTTATCATCAGAAAAACATTTTTGAAATGAAGTTTAATATTATAGCTAGGGACCGCTTTTTGGTGTATCTATTTTGGAAGACAAGCGCCACGCGCGCAATGAGTTGTGGGATATAGCGCATCAAATATCAAGTGTCTAGTGTGACTGTGATTTGCAAATTTTCGATTTTTTCGTTTGGATATATTTCGCTCAAGAAAAGCTATATTTCGCTCAAGAAAAGCTAAATTTCGATTGGATAAGTGACTCTAAGTGCTGCTAAAGACTTATTGATCTCAGGTATGTATTATTACTCTTTATATCGTATAATTATAACGTCCATCGACCCTATTTATATTTCATTGTATCTTGTGGCTGTACTAGCCTGAACATGTGGCTGCTAAAATTTGAATTTGCGCGCGCGAGATCTTATCTATTGAAATTATTTCATTTCAATGCCGCCAAATATTAGTTAAAACCAACAATTCAAATTTTGAATAAGCACATTATCGTAAATACTGGGTTGCACTTGTTTGACAAAACTCGAGAAAGCATCTTTGAACCCACACAGTGTATTATTTGAAACAATATGCGAAATGTGAATATGAATATAAATATGGGTTTGCTATAAGCCTATTTAAGCCAAAACATGAGAATTATTTGAGAGTATTAATTAAATTATGTTCTTTTAATCACCTCTCCCCTGGATTTCCAAGGTCTTTCAAGTTATTGAGTGCCAAGCTCTCTCCCCTTGACAAGTGAAATCACCTAGGCATTATTAAACTCTGCCTAGGGTTACTGGCCGGGTTAGACAGAGTAAAATTAGTGGTGTTTACACTACAAGCCTTGGCCTAGCCTTGGCCAGGACAAGGTAAATGTGGCATGTTTACACCATTACAATTTTTTTTTGAGGTCTACAGTACATGACTACAGGCTCACTTTGGCCAAGAATTTTGTTAATAATTTTGTGTATTTTTATGTGTTGTGATGTTGTCTGCTGGTTGTCCGCTAATCTCTCACTGTGGACACATGTTGCCATGAAAATAAGGCCCCGGCCAGAGCTGAAAGTGTTTACATTTCCACAAGCCTAGACTTGGGCCATGTCCGTTGTACTGAGTCCAGATTTCCTGGCCTAGGTCAGGACAAGGCTAGCCCATTTCCACAATTATCTTAGGGCCTTAGGCCAAGTCGGTTGTAGTGAGCCCAGATTTCCTGGCCTAGGTCAGGACAAGGCTAGGTCAAAGTCTGTTTACACTGTCAAAATGTTGGCCAAGGCTAGGCCAAGGCTGGTAGTGTAAACACGACTACTGAATGCATCAGGGCGCATTACGACTAAATGGTAAAATTCCCACAATATGGTAAAAAAGTATAAACTTTTGCTAGCTTGAGCTTGAATGATTTCCAAGCTAAACCCTCCTAGAGTTTACCCTGTATATTGTGCCTGTTTATATAATAATGGCATGACTGGACAGTAGGTTTTAATCCAGGATGGTGTGTTTAATATAGACGGAATACACCCCGCCTGGCAGGAATTATAGAGTGCTTATATGAGTTTCCTGTCCTGGCAGGAGGGATCCTGTATAGGCCAGTTAGAACTAGAATAATTCACTTTAATTACTAAACAGTTGATAGAGTTCATATTGCATCCTGGATCATGCCGGCGGTGTCATAATAATTACAATGTGGCTACAGTATGATGCTTGTGATGTTACTCTGAGTGTCCTTTTACATGTGCATCCAAAGCTAGATTGAATTAACTTATAAATAACCATTAATTACAAGAGTATTCACTAGCATACTTGATGATCCACTTAGCCTTGAGAGTAAAATGGTCTTTCATTAGACAGAGTACAATACAGTAATCTGGCATTTAAAAGACAGTAAAATAAGGAAGTAAGACACACAAGGGTACAATACAACTTAGGGGCTGTTTATATGAGGCGAGCCAGCTCGGGAACCCGAGCTAGCTCGCTTTAGGCGGGATCCCGTCTTTGTTAATATTTCCTACTAAATTTCATGTTGCGTTTATATGAGAACCGAGCTGGCCCGCCTAACCGAGGTCCCGCTTCGTGTGACCGAGACCTCGGGTAAACGAGCTGGGTAGCTTCCCATATAAACGCAACAGGGAGGGCTAGCCCTCCTAGTAGGGCTGGAAATTTAGCAAATACGCATGCGCAAATAATTAGAATAATTCGGAATGCACAAACAACTCCCATATAAGGAACCAACTTCCATATATGGAGTTGTTTACGCCAAAACAAATAGAGCACGAAGAGCCAGCCCTTCATGTAAGTTTCATGTAAACGCGTGGTGAAATTCATCTCGGGGATGCGAGCCAGCTCGGGTGCCCGGGCTGGCTCGCTTCCATATAAACAGCCCCTAAATGGGTTCACTAGACACATTAGATTAGTTTTATTTACCCACAAATAATATTTACAAGTTGAATATTTAAGAATATATAAACGGGCTAGAGACCTCTGGAAATCCTATTGGACTTTTAAGACGAGGCCCCTATAGTTTTAGTGTTCAGTAATATAAAAATAGATTATGTACATAAGGACAATTTGCAATGAAAAACACAAACTATTTACAAACAAATATGGAAAATGTTTAAGGAATATTTAGTACATTACAGAATACTGTCATTAATATTCCTGAAATATTTACATCAACTAGACATCAAGTAATATGATTTTGCAGTTTTCTTAAAAGAAAAATATGATTTAATATTTTTAATTTCTTCATCAAGGCAATTCCATATAAAAACTCCTTTGTT